ATTTTTTTGTCAAAATTTTTTTGTCAAAATTTTTTTCAAAATTTTTGTTCCAAATTTTTTTCCAAAATTTTTTTTCAAAATTTTTTTTCAACAAATTTTTTTTTTTTACATTTTACATTGTGTTCTTCTGTTTCTACAGGTGAACTTCCTGCTGAAGGATGAGATCACGGCAGCACTGCGCCTGATCCGCCCGGTGACAATCCAGACACTCGAGAAGGTGAGCTGTGAAATGCTGGACAAACAGACCCAAAATATTTTAATTATGTCAAGTCATAGACCCCGAGTTTTTTTTGCCCTGCAGTGGCATAGTTACTTCGGAATCCGCATTTGTTGCGTTTTGCTGCTGTGTGATGCATTGCACAAGAGTCCTCCAAATCGTGCCTATACTGGGTGCTACTGCTATATAGATGGTACACTATGTGCAAAACAACAATTGTTGGGCTACGCAGGACAAGGGTTAATTTCAATAAACCATTCATTCATTCCCTCCAGGTGGCTGCCCACGTGCATGACTCCTCCTGTCGGCTGGAGACCGGTCTGTCTGCGAACCCGCTGGACTTGCCCCTCACCATCCAGGAGGACGTCCCTCTGCAGTTCGTCTTCGGCTCCGACCAGAGCCTGGAACGGTTCGTGGTCGCTCTGGACGATCTGCAGCTGCCGGGCTACAGGCTGGAGAAGGTCTGCATAGCCGGTATAACGGCCTTGTTACACCTAACCTTTAAACATCTAACTGTTACAGGGACTCTAAACATTGTTTAATGCTGAGTGAAGAGACTCTTTTTACACAACCAAGTCTTTTATTCAGCACATTGCTGCACAGGTGAACCAGTCAGAATTGCCCTGAGGAAGGTGACAGTGACAGACGGTCACCGTAATGTCGGCTGAGTAAGACTGTCTTGGTTGTATAAAAAGGGTCTCTTCACTCAGTGTCTTGCCATGGGCAGCCTCATGAAACTATTCACGGATTGTTTAATGCTATCTAATGATAATGCTGCTACTGTTCTTGCATGGTCTGAACATTTTTTCTGGACAGGTCTGGCCCTGGTACTACACTGCGCTGGACCCGACCGCCCCCATCTGGAAGAGGAAGCCTGAAAACCTGAACGACTCCCTTCCGCTGAGCAGTGTGAGCAACTCGGAAGAAGTCATCTCCCCACGAAGCAGTAGGGACCACTCCGATTCTGTGTCCACTTCCTACAGCGGCAGGGATCACTCAGACTCGTTCGCTACAGTAGTGGAGAACAAGGTAAACAGGCAGGACTCCAACATGGCCACCTTACCCGGACAGGACACCAATTTGGCCACTTCACCCAGACAGGACTCCAATATGGCCGCCTCACCCAGGCAGGACTCCAATATGGCCGCCTCACCCAGACAAGACTCCAGCATGGCCACCTCACCAAGGCAGGACATCAATTTGGCCACTTCACCCAGACAGGACTCCAATATGGCCACCTCTCCCAGACAGGACACCAATATGGCCGTCTCACCCAGACAGGACTCCAATATGGCCGCCTCACCCAGACAGGACATCAATATGGCCGCCTCAATGAAACCGGACACCAATATGGCCGCCTCACCCAGACAGGACTCCAATATGGCCGCCTCACCCAGACAGGACACCATTATGGCCGCTTCACCTAGAGAGGACACCAATATGACCACTTCTCCAAGGCAGGACTCCAGTATGGCCGCCTCACTGAGGGAGGACACCAATATGGCCGCCTCACCCAGACAGGACACCAATATGGCCGCCTCACCTGAAGAGTCAAGTATTTCACCATCACAACAAAGTACAAATCAGACTCTTGCAGTTGATTCTGAAGAGCAGCTTCTAGGTTTGCCCCTTCCTATGGACACATGGGAATGCTTGGAGGATGCAGACAAAGATGAAGAAGCAGCCGTGGAGAAAGCCATCGACTCCACTGAACTGATCGATCAGGGGCTCGACGAACAAGACTTTACAAAAAATGCTGCAGATGGAGACGAAAATGCAGGTGACAAGACTACAGAAGCTGTTGAAGACCAACATGAGAGTGACGTATGTCTAGAACCTCCAACTGAAAATAGAGATCAGCAAGCAAAGAAGGAAACACAGAGTGACAACATAGAGGAAATTGACCAGAAAGAGCCAGGCAGCAATGTAGAGAAAGAAAAAGAGCAAGCGCATGCAGATGAAATGTCAGACAAAACTCTGGAAAATGCCAACAGCGATGAAACTCAACAGACCAAGCAAGAAACAGGAGACGTTACAGAATCACTTGCAGAGGGTGAACCTGTTGAAAGTCTTCCTTCAGAGCAAACCACAGACAATTTGAAAACTGATGACAGTGCACCTCTACAGCCAGATGATTCTAAAACTGCACCAACAGCCAAACCGGAGGGTCCAGTCCTGCCCAACTTCTGGCTGATTATGAAGGTCTCCACAGACAACAAACAAACGAATGAACAAACCGACAAAGTTGAGATGTTCTGTCATGCTAGGAAGGTACGTAGATAATTCGCATTTTCTGTAGTGAAATCACCCACTTGCGCTAGCTGGCTACCTCCCAAACGTAAGGATATACATATGGTAGAGCGCTGAGGTCAAAAAACAAAATCTCTTAATTCAGGTGCTGTTCCTTGTTGAGCTACTGAATGGCTAACCTTGTCCGCTCTTTTGTATATATTTGTGGTAACTATATTTGTAGATATATCTTTTTTAATTGTCAATTATGCCCCAATTCAGCAAAATTATGTAGCTGCAATGGCATATTATCTGTTGTCTTCATTTTATTTGCATATCAATCAATAGTTAGTGCTTATAAACTTGCATTTCTCCTCTGGTCTCTCAGTCACTGACGAAAGCTAGTGGATACTAGCTGAAACGTCTGACCATTTCCAAAATCATATCCAGTTGCTTGAGTAACTGCTTTTTGGCATATTATCTGTTGTGTGATTTTATTTTTGGAAATAAAAAAAAATGTTATTCCTTCCAGGGCAACATGGACGACCACTCCACGCTCTTCGAGACGCTTGGAGACAAAATCCGGAACAGCTGCAAACTGGTGAACCAGAAGATGCTGCTGCAAGACCTGCACGACACCCGAACCTGCAACTCGCTTCTTGTGGCCGAGGACGACGAAGACATCTGGCTTAAAGACGACTACGGACCCGGCGGAGGTGCGTTGTTTGATGTTTTATTGACAATCCATAATTTAGATTAAACATTTCATTAAGTTTAGCCAGGGTGCCATCCGATTTGCCAGGGGTTACCGTTACAAATCGGATGGCACCCAGGCTACATTATGTTTACTAAAGGAAAACATTATTATTATTATTGTTTTTGCTCTGTTTCCTCTTCTTCTTCTTCTTCTCCAAACCAAAAAGGTCAATGACCTGAACCAGATGTCTGTCACCATGGTTAGGCCTAGGAAAAAAATGTGTATCCTGTTTCCCGACCGAAACTAGAAAAACCTGCCTAGAATGCCCCGAGGAAGGTGACAGACGGTCACCGAAACGTCGGCTGTGAATAAAACACCTGGTTGTGTAGAAAAAGTCACTTTTAATACCCAATGACTTACCAACCTGATGAAACTATTAACAGATGTTATATGTGATCGTGTTCTCAGGTCAGATCGGGGTTGCAGCCATCAGCTCTGCAGAGGATTTTGCGGAGAAGAAGAAGTACCTTGCTGCCACCATGCAGTTCATGCCGGGGTACTTTGCGTGCGAGTGTGTGTGGCGGGTCCACTTCTCCATCCACCAGAGGCTGAAGACGGGGCCTGCGCGGGGGGTTTCACGCGGTCAGCAGGCCCTGAGGTCTGCCCTGTCGGCGTTCTCAGTCAACAACCAGAAGAATATGTTCGTGTTCCAGGTAAGGCCACATCAATTCAATCTGTTGCTTCTTGGATCTTTTTTTTTAAATTTTGAAAGAGGGCACAGCAAAAACAGAAGGCTGGAGCGAAAACTGTTCACTTCCTGAAACTCTGTGCACCCAGGTAAGGACTCTCCTCTTAGACTCTGTTGTTGTGTCGAGACTCCAATCTTGTGTCATTTTTTATATCTGAGAAACAGAAAATTAAACTGGTGTAGCCTAAACCAGCCTTCCAATTCATACATCTCACAAAATGTTGGCCATTTCATACTCCATTGCACACAAAAAAGAAATCAAACAATAACACTATCATACAATAACTATGTGTATATCAAAAGTAGCATTGGCATTTACTTATCATTTCTACTGTTGTATATCATTTATCATGTTCTTGCCTGGATTTGCAATGAGTAAACTTGAACTTTCTGTTTTCCAGGAGCGGACTGGAGCCGTGTTTTACCTGCAGCTGTTTGAGTCCATGTGTGTGAGTGGGTCACACAACACACTCAACCTCCCCGAGATTGGAAAGGGCGAGGATGAGAACTCCCTCCTGAGCTCGCGCACATCGTCGCTTCTCTCCCTGCCGATCCGGGGTGGGGCTGCGGAGCTGGAGGAGGACATCAGGGAGTACCAGCAGGCCGTGGAGAAGGACTCAGGGATGGACACGGTTTGTTTGTTTGTTTATTTATCTATTAAGTAAGGTACATCCATTTCCTGTAGTCCTCTTACATCCGGGAGTACCAACAGGCTGTGGAGAAGGACACGTGTGTGTATGTGTGTGTGTGTGAATATGTGTGTGTTTGTGTGTATGTGTGTGTTTGTGTGTGTGTGTATGTATGTGTGTGTTTTGTGTGTGTGTGTGAGTGTGTGTGTGTGTGTGTGTGTGTGTGAGTGTTTGTGTGTGGTTTAGCGTAACTAGAAAAGCTGTGGTTGGATTGGGATCAAACTTGTTTTAATGTTACAGTATTTACCGTTTTCCCAGGTTCAGTCCGGTTCCCTGTCCGCCCAGGGCCAGGCTGAGGAGAGCGTGGTCCTGATGTTTTTGTGTGTTTTACTGTCCCCAGGTTCAGTCTGGTTCGCTGTCCGCCCAGGGCCAGGCTGAGGAGAGTGTGGTGCTGATGTTTTTGTGTGTTTTCTGGTCCCCAGGTGCAGTCCGGTTCCCTGTCTGCCCAGGGCCAGGCAGAGGAGAGCGTGGTGCTGATGGTTCACGGTGTCCAGCCGGCCGGAGCCGAGATCCGCGTCGATTTGGTGCAGATCCTGCAGCACAGACTGGACGACGCAACGCTCGACGTCATCAGCCTCATGCTCGCCAGGTCCGGTTGGGTTTGGTTCGGTTTATTGAGATCTCCATTAGTGAATACTGGTACAACAGCTAAATCAGTAGAGTGTTCGCTTTGTAACCGGGAGGTCGTGAGTTAAAACCCCAGGCTTTAAAAGACTTTAAAAATGGTACATACTGCTTTCTCTGCTTAGCACAATTATGAGAATGAGAATCAAAGAGTTTGGGAAGGTCAACATACAAATTACAACAGTACCAGTGGGCTATCCCCTGCTGTAGTGCTTGAAAACAGGGTGGCCCATGGGCTACAAAATAGATGGGCACTGACATGTGACCATGCTAATGGTTGCAGGAGGGCTTTAACTTTTCTTTCTAACCATAAAGAGAGTGGCTGATTTTGTCCTCCTGCAGTGCTTGCACAACTGTGTCGCCCAAGGGATATGAAACGGAGATGGGTGCCCCCATATGTGGGAGGGCTTTAAATTCATTAACTAACTAACCATAAAGAGAGTGGCTGATTTTTGTCCTTCTGTGGTAGGAACCCGATGTGCCGACTGTCTCCGGCGGACGTCCTGTTCATCCAGCCTCCGTCGGAGCTGCCCACCCACACCCTTCGCCTGGCCGTTCCCGCTCAACTCTCCTCACACATACAAGGTACGTTTGTTTCGCATAACCGGTAAACCACCTGATTAGGCACCAGTTTTGTACAGTCATGTAAGAGCTGTACAAGCTGCGTAAGACCGAACTGTAAGGTTTGAACCACTCACACTGGGAAGCTGCCAACCCACAGCCTTCGCCTGGCTGTACCCGCACAACTATCCTCACACATACAAGGTTGGTTTGTTGTTTTTGTTTGTTTCACATACTGTAATTCATTTTATGCAAAATTTCACAGTCTGAGAAAAGTTGACATGTTCACGGAACTAATTATTATGTTCATGGTGGCAACAGGTGCAGGCAAAAGAAAGTTCAGTTATTTGTTAACTGTAAATGATAAGTTCATGGTACAGATTAAGTGACAGTGAAAACAGTGAACTTTCAAAGTACCCTGAAAAAATCAGGAATTACAGTAACCAGTAAACCACCTTTTTAGGCGTACTATGTTCAATATGCATTGCCATACATTGTACCATGTGCAATAAAGTTTCTCTTCTTCTTCTTCCAAGCCGTGGACTTCTACCTGAAGCAGAACCTTCTGCAGTTTCTCCACAACCCAAAGTTTAGCGACAGTGTCCACTTCCAGGACGTGGACCGGAAAAACGTGCCCCAAACCGACCAGGACGTGTTCCTGTACAACCGCCCGCAAGAGTCCGGCGGGAAAGGGATTGCCTGTATCATCCTCGGGCACGTCGACAGCGAAGGGAACTACATCCAGCCTCCTCCTGCCCCGAAGGTTTGTTTGTTTGTTTATGCTTAGGTCACATTTCCAAATCGGGGCCTGGCCGGGCTGTTTGTATGAACGAAATACTAACAATTCATATCAAGAATATACTGAAATAGTGCCCATGATTATTATCGAAAACTTTTTTGTGTTTCCTTGTCTTTTATACCATACTTTTTGTTTCATAAGATTGCCCGGCCGGGCCCCGATTTGGAAATGTGACCTCAGCATTAAGGAATCTCCAATTAGTGATGATACAACACTACTATTCCTGGAGTCCTCTTACATACATGAAATACAACGTTATACCATTAACAACTATTTACATCACTTCAGAAATCTACAAACTTTAAGGTATATTCAAAACGTTTACCACCATGAGTTAATTGGTGTGTTTGTGTTTAGGTGTCCGTCGAAGCCTACAAGGTCGCCATGACCTGGTCCAACTTCAAGCCGCTGATCGAGACGCACCGACTCGAAGCCGGTTGTTGCAGCTCTCCGGACGGCGGCGCGATTCTGCAGTTCCACATCTGGGAGCGGGGAGACATCGACTTTCCTCAGCTGGCAGAGAAGATCGGGCAGGCGCTGCAGCACGCGCTCTGCGACGTCATCACCGAGTACTACATGCTGACCGCGCCGATCGCAGAGCTGGAGGAGGATGGAGAGGAGGAGGAGGATCTTATGGATGAGGAGTTGATGATGGAAGGAGACGTTTCGTCCGCGGATGGAAGACAACTCTCGGAGGAGAGTGCGGAAGGAATCGAACCATTATCAGAGTCGACACAGCAGGCAAACCTGACGTGGAAGGAAAGGGAGATAGCCAGAAGGAAGGAGGAGGACCACAAGAGCCTGCTGTGGAAGCTACAGTCTGGTTCAGAAGGGGTGCTCCACACCATGTACATGGGGAGGGTACAGAGGTGGTTCGACTTCATGTACGGCATTAACAGCCCTTCGGTGGTCCGCGACACGCAGTCCGTGGACTCTCGCTACGCCATCCCCATCCTTCTGCGGGAACTCTGCGATCTGGTCCACCTCCTTGCAAAGGACAACACCTTACGGGTGTTCAAACACTGCCAGGAGCAGAACTACACCCTCCTGAAGGTTTTGTTTATTTGTTTATTTGAAGGATCTCCATTAGTATACGCTTATACTCACTATTCTTCCTTGAGTCTTAAAAACATATTACAAACTTATAACACAAACGTATATACACTTGCTTGTTGCCACACATAAAATACAACAACCTGTAACTATTACTTAACTTAACCTATCCTATTCTATATACAACAAAGTAATGAGGTAAGAGATTGTTTGAGGGGTCAGAGGTCAATGCAATAAATAATACATACAAGTTATATATTTACATTTAAAAATCATTATGCCAATGCTGCAGGGGTCTGTTTGTGTTTTTAACCTGTCCTTGACGTGTTTTTTGAAGGTTCCCAAAGGCCCGCCCAAGTCTGAGGAGGTGTGCCACGCTCCCGGGTTGGCTGACAACTACATCCTGCTAGCGCGCAGTCTGCGACAGTGGAGGGAGTGCATGGACGTGAAGTACGGGGACTTGGGAGCAGATGAGGAGAAGCCGCTGCCTCCTGTTTCGTACAAAGGTGTGCAGAAGTTCAAGGCCCAGGAGAGGAAGGGTCAGGAGAAGGTATAGCATTTTTGGTTTATTTATTTCCATTTCAAACACACTACAATAACAACACAATTATAGGGTATAGAATTTTCTTCTTACACAACCAGTAAGGTTCTCACCTGCATGGTTACATTTCTGGTTGTGTAAGAAGAAAATTCTATACCCTAAGTATCTTCCAACCTGATGAGATTATTTATGGAACACAATTATAATACAGTACACAATGCCATTACTTCGCAGCCATTAAGGCTGAATCGTGTCCAGTGGTTAGCGATCCTGCCTCTGGACTAAGAGGTTGGGAGTCCCGGCTGTTTTTGCTCACCCGACATGCACGCTACTGTTTAGAGTCGCAGTCCTTATTAAGACGGTATGTTAAGCTGTGGTCCACTGTTCATTGTGCTCGAAAAAGAGCTAGGGGAATTGGTAAAATGAACCTATAAATACTGTACATAGCGTCTGTCTTCTCTGTCACGACCAGTGGAAGATTAGCTCTTCAAGATCACTTTCACTTTCTGACACTACCCCAGGTAGCAGAAGCGGCGGGGCCGTCGCCCCGGCAACGGCTGATGATCGTGGAGATCCGGGACACGCAGATCACGACGTACCAGTACAACTGGGCAGGCGACCTGAGCGTGACCTTACGGCAGCAGCTGGCGCAGCTCAGCCAGTGGCACAACGCACGCTCCCACCTGCTGCAGTCCCTACTGGTACAGAAGTTGGGCCTCTTCCACCACCATCCTTACCAGGTCAGGGTTAGAGCTACTTATAGAAAATGTCAAAATAGCTATTAATAGATTAATCAAGTAATGCACACATGCTTTTTAGGTTTCACCATTGACGAAAAACCAAGGTCAGAGTTAGTAGATTCATACATGTACATATGTTTGTTTTATCCTGTAATTACTTTCTGTACGTTTTGCCATATTGTGTATTATAATGTATGGTTTCAATGTGTTCTGTGTCTAGGGCCCCACCGCTTAGCAGTCACAGTTTTATCACTGAGTGGGCTACCCTGGCTAAAGAAAAATAGGAAAAAAGGAAAAATAAAAATACCCACCCGCAGTCTACATTTTGCAGACCCTGAGACAATTTCAATACAGCAGAAGATAAATTAATATGCAACCTGCAATTTTGCAGACTGAAAAAATCAGGCTTGGGGTTCACTGGTGTTTAAGAGCTGTTGTGTAGTACAGAAACCGCAATTCAGCACTGGAGCTGCAAGGGCTTTTTAAACTGCATAAACCATTCTCTCTTCTCTCTCATTGTGGCATCGGAGACACAAGGCTTAAGAGTGTTGTGCCCTTGGGAAAGGCGCTTTACAGTCGACTTCCCCACCTGTGCAGTGGAGTGCCGCCCACCGAGCCTCTTTGGCTTGTCTGTCTAAGTGTGTGCCCAAAGCACACTACGAATTTGGTGATGTGTCAACATCTGCATATTTGTCACTGAGAGCTGTGAATATTATTCTTCTCCTTCAGGTGGAGAATGCTGCCAACCCGTTCCTGCGGTACTCTCAGGACGCCGACCTCCTGGTGAAGTGTTCCGCGCCGCCCGTTAAAGAGCTGCAGGCCCGCGCCGCGCAGGGGTTCCGGGGGAGCGTGCTGTTCCACCCGGCCCTGCGGAAGTTCGACCAGTGTCTGCGGGATGTACACCTGCGCTGCCCCATGCACCAGGTAAGGCAAACCCAAAACCTCGCTTCTTCCCTCCTGCAATAGACAAACACACTGAACCAGACAAACCCAACACCAAGCTTCTTCTCTCCTGCAATAGACAAACAAGTCACTCTTATCATTGTGAACTAATACTTACTTCAAGAAATATGAGTGGTGTACAACTGTACATCATATCATGAAAAAAAAATCATGCAACTTTATGGCTCTCTCCTACCCATTACAAATACGTAGAAATGGCCAGTACTACAGATAAAGAACAAAGTCCCCCACCTTGTACAGTAGGTATGTGCACATCTGTGATCTCTCCATACTGCTCAAAAGTTTTTCTGAGATCTTCCTTGCTACACTGTGGAACTTACAGCAAGATGTCTTTTCTATAATAGTACATGACAACATGGATACAAATACACATTAGAAATCATGAGCAGGGCATGAAATTAATTTTTGCGAATAGGTGCACTGGTGCACCCAATTTTTCACCCAACCTAAAAGAATTGGGTGAAATTTCTGGTTGCACCGGATTTGGTGCACCGATGTGCCAACATCTGCACATTTGCCACCAAGAGCCATACAAATTTTTTCATTGTTATTCATTCAGGCGCCGTACGCCGGGCACCCCAACCCCGTGTTCCGGCACGGTATCCAGGCCCAGGAGGCACGGAACATCGAGTGGGGGGAGTACGACACGATCCACAAGCTGAAGAGCCTGTACCTGATGTGGCAGCATCGCAGCGGCCAGGTCAACGTCCCCATCCCGGACGATCTTATCGACCTGATGAAGATGCAGTCCCGACTCGTGCACTACTGCACCACTCCGCTGCTCTACCACCCGTTCTGGCTCGACCAGGAGAACGGGAAGGTTGTTTTTTTATTTGTTTATTTTATTTATTTATGAAGATTTACTACATTTGTGGAAGGATTGACATAACAGGTGAATGTCACCTCTTTGGGATGTCAAACCTGAGACCAGACTGTAAGGCTTGAACCACTCACACCGGGAAGGTCCACTACTTATTTCGATAAGTGCGGTGGGTTCTTTAACGTGTGTGGGGTATGGCTCTCCCAAAACATGGGACCTCCATTTAACGTCCTATCCATCTGCCCACCGAAGTGCAAATGGATATATATATATACAGGCTGGCCAACTGAAAGATCTGCTTGGAGATTATGTAATCAATACTAATATTTAATATATTTTGTTTTTTTATACAAGGCAAGTAACGGGCGGGTTGCTAGGAAAGCCACGCCTAGCGACGACGCGTGGCTGGTGGACCTCTCTTCGTCCTTCCTTCAGCAGTACATCCAGTACCTGCAGTCTCTCGGCTTCGTGCTGGTCCAAACCCGCCCGCCCTCCCCGCGTCGCATGGCACGGATGCAGCGCCACAGCAAGTAAATGAATGAGACTTTATTTTCGTGTCGTGCGCTTTCCCGCGCCCAGCCCGTGTGGGCTTATACGACACCTATTTAATGAATTATACATAAACAAAAGAGAATCAAAGGTACAGATAACAGAATCCAAACGAAATATGAACACAAATAAAGGTAGACTATATACAATAATAGTGAACAAAGTGAACTCATAACAGATCAAAAATGCAAATAAACAAATCTGTACATAATGAACCAAGATCTCACAAAATAAATACAAGTACATAAGGTAAATCAAACATAATAAGAGAAAACAAACGTGCAGAAAAAGTGACAACAGTTGATGTGTTATGAATACAGGTATCACGCTCCGTCAGAGAGCGGCATAGAAAAGACCACCACTCACCACCTACAGCGAACCATCCCCGGTGGTGTGTTGTTCATGGAGCTCAGTCTGCACTCACAGTTCTTCACTGTCAGGCAGTTTGCGCTGGAGAGTCATCGCCTGGGCCTGCCTGTCAACTCTCACCTCGCTGTGGTCTTCACTGATGAGTGTGACAAGTATAAGGTAGGACAGATCACTCGCCATTTCTAATAATAATATATGTTGCCTAGTTGATAGCCTGATTAAATCGCTTTTGCCGGCCGCCCAACATCCAGCCGGCCCCCGGGTGGCGGACTATGTAGTGAGCCCCCTGGAGCTTGGGTTACATAGGCTACCTAGTTGACAAGTCCCCAAATTCATTCAATCATTCATTTACTACTACTACTAATACTAGTACTACTTCATCCTCTACATGTACTTGTAGAGGAAGAGAGAATAATTTTCACCTACAATGTACCTTTCAGTTTGTGTACATGAGTGTGTGTGCTGTGCTGTGTGCGTGTGTGTTTATGTTTGTGTGTGTGGGTGCATGCGTGTGTGTGATGTGCATTTGACATGAATAAAATTACAGTAAACCATGATTTTCTTTCTTCCCAGGACCTGAAACATCTGCACTCCTTCTCCCATGACTTCCATCTTCGCTGTGCTGCCCTGTACATGAGCGGCCGGCAGCTCATCTTCCCACAGTGCTACGACCTCAGCACATTCCTGGCCGGCGTCGTCAACTTCTTCAGCCGGCCGCCACGCTTCTCTCAGAACCACATCCTCTCAGGTGAGCTTTCTTTAAGAAGGTTAATGTTGGGACACTGCTTGGCTGGCCAGAAAAGTTGTTGAGACTCTAATCCACAGGGGTATGGACTTGCTGTGCCCAAGAGGCAAATGGCAGGCTGCCATCAAGCCCCAGCATCAGAGTGCAAGCATGTCTAACCCTCGGTTACAGGGAACAACAGGACTGTGATAAACTGGATGGAGAGAGAGTTAGGTGGTCTTGTGGTTAGAGTTGTTCTAAAGGTTCTGGGATTGAATCCCTAGCACAATACTGTGCCTTTGGGAAAGGCATTTTACACACTCAACTCAGGCTAAAATAGCCTGCAATATGGCATTGTATAGGTTTGGTGATGTGCTTCTTTAAAACAAAAATTTACCGAGGATAGATGCAGTATACATGTACATGTACATAAAGCAGCCTGTAAAATGTGTTCAGTCTGAATGGAAATTTTTTTTTTTTTTTCACCCAGACACCATTACTGAAGACTGCCCCAAGCTGGAGGCGAGTCAGCTGTTTAGCTACACCCTGGAGCATGCAGACAGCTACGGGTTCAAGTCGCTGGCCATGAGCGGGCCAACGGGCGACATGACACAGGAACAGGACTTCGCTCTCATCACACTCAGTACAGGTGAAGTTTCTGTTTTGTGTTTCTTTTCTTGAGAGATTTCTTCAAAATTCAGTATGCACCCAGGTAATCAGGTACACAGGAAGACATACAAGCAACTGGAAGTATTGTTTTCAGCATACCTGCACTGGTGCAGGCTAGAAGGTCTTTTTCCACTCCTTGCAGAGCGTACATGCAGGATAATCCTGAAAAGATGCTGATGATGAAGCTAATTATAATTTGTGCCGCAAAATTGCAATTGACTTGAGATATAACTTGAACAAATATCATATAGACTTCTTACATTGCATACTTAATTCCAACAGGCACCACACTACATCCGGAAGTTGCCAAGCAAGAAGCTAATTATGGTGTATTTGTGTTAAGTTTCAGGACCGGTGTAGAATTGACTCGAGATGTAACTGAAATGAATATCTTATAACTTTCCTACATGTCATTCCAACAGGTGCCACGCCACATCCAGAAGTTGCCAACCTGCCCATGAACGACTTTGACGTCAGCCTGTTCGTCGTTCGCCAGAAGGACCCAGCAAAACCGCCCGCCACCTCCTCGGTCCTAACCCTGCAGTACTACGTCATCCTGACCAGCCGGCGCGACATGTTCCCGCGTCTGACCGTGGATGAGAAGATCGCGTTCCGCACTCGGGCCGGGCGCGCCGGCGGCCACCACTTCGGCCGCCCGGAGGACGACATGCCCCCCTGGCTACAGCTGCTCCTCTCCGAGTCCGTCACCGCGCGCCAGAAAATCTCCGGGACGATCGACGACGCGCAGCTTCACTGCCGGCGCGACCAGCTCTGGAACCGCCTGCAGTTTGAGAAACCAGCGGAGAGCGAGGAGAGGAAAGGGCGGCGCAGCGAGAGCGACGAGAAATCCCGCCGCGAATCGCTCGGGAACGCCAAACTCAGCTTTGACGAGTTCCAGGAGCTGATGAGTTTGGTGGTGTCGCGAGCGCTGACCGACATGGACCCGTCGCTCACGACGCTGCTCAGCATGGGCACAGCGTGGTACCAGGGGCTTCTCCGGGTGCTTCAGAGCCGCTTCCCCGCAAAAAGTCGCCACTTCAGCAGCCCAGACACTCACCATCACTACCTGGCCGTGCTCAGTAACCACGAGGATAACTTCATCCTACTCCACATGAACACGCAGACGCGATTCGCCGAGCTTAGCGCCGTGTTCCGGGTCGAGAATCAGCAGAGTCTGGCGACGAACGGAGACGGCTCGCCCGCGTCAGACTTACAGCGCCACCTAGAGGCTGTCGTTAACGCTGCAGCCTTCCACCTGTGGTCCAGCCTGTTGTAAAATCCTTAATTAACCATAAGCCTGCTGACTAGGTGTTTCTTGATCGACACCAAAAAAAACTGCTGACCCTTTTTTGGGTGGACCCCTGCAAGGGACATACATTTTACAAGCTGATCAACCTTGGTAAAAGTTATCTGCCAACTGCATCTGTAACTACGATATGTGTAAGAAATCTGCTGTTTAAATGTACCCTGACCTGAAATGTAGAGTATCATCATTGACATAGATGTGTAAAGTGAAATTGTAGCAAAGTTGTGCCATGTCATACTACATGTAGTATTTCGCTTGGTAAAATGGACACTATTACTACATGATGGGTTCTCGATATTTCAACATAAAATGGAAGATAAAACTTATGCCAAAAGCTGTGACAAGTTGGAATAGAAATATATTCATTGTTGTGATACTGTAATAATGTACAGGCTGTATATATAGAGAGAGATATGGGTGGGTAACAAGCTGCTTTATAATGTTATGTTCAACAGTTATTTTGCCATCATGTAAAATATACCTTAGTTTACTTGGGTCTAGATTACAAAATGTATAAAAGGTGTAATCATGTATGGAGAGAAATCTCCAAGATTGTATAAGGAAAGGTGAACATAATTACTTTGTAATTACCTTTATTGTTCTGTTTGTACAGAAAACATTCAACTGTGAGCATTGAGATAATAGAGTCGCTTCCATGCATCAGCATTTTCTTATTACGTCCGTGTACCTCCATGAAAAATGGAGGTATTGTTTTTGGCGCGTCTGTGTGTGTGTGTGTGTGTGTTTCCGCACATTTGTAGTCAGCATAACTTCAGAACGCCTTTATGGATTGTGATGATATTTGGTATACTGGTAAGTCTTAGGAAGATAAAGGTCAAGGTCAAATATTTCCGTAGTTGTTAGACTACAGTGGAGTGAGAGTTCAAGCAAAGGAGGAAACTGTGTTGCCACAGGCTGACAGGAAGAGACAGAAAGTGATTAGTGAGCGCTGATCCCAGTTTCCTATTTCCATTATTTTTCCCACTGGACTTCATAGCCTACCTTATCTTATGAAAGCCAGTTGGAAAATGCTACTAAGACAGAATTAATAGAACTAGAATCAATTATTCATTAGCCTGGAGTATTTAGCTTACTTTAATCCCACTCCCCAAGATTCGTTTCGCGTGTGACCTTCATACTTATTGAGATTACATGCCAGGGGATCCGGAGTTGGTCCGCTTAAGAGACATGAGAGAGTGCAGTTTGCTCTCTAGCAACGTTTTCTCACTATTTGGCCAATTCCTGCACTTTCCAGCCGCCTCCCGAAGCCAGGTAGAGGCTATCCCATGAGACATGTCAGAAAAGTGGGCAGGGCAGAAGACGGTGCCAATCTTCCCTTCCCACCTCTGCTTGAAGTGCACATCTGGATCCTGTTTTATAAGGGACAGACTCTGGCACAGCTTCAGTCAGTTTTGTCAGGAGATGTTGACCGAACCCGACATCTCGTCTCGCGGGGAAACTTAGTGCCAAATTCTGATGCAATCACGGCCAAATTAACTCCCTGCCCTTCGGCGGTAACCTGGCACGCATCCAGACTGTTCCAGTATATTCCTGGCCCATACAGATCAGCTTTACTGACATACATGTTATCTGAAATGAATACATAACTATAAATAAAATAAATGAATAACGTCACCTGTGTGTGTGCGTGTGTGTGTGTGTGTGTGTGTGTGTGTGTGTGTGTGTGTGTGCGTGCAGTATGTGATTGTGTGTGTCAGTGTGTGTGCCTGCGTGTATGTATTACATGTAGCAACATATAAACCTCCTTGGTATACGTTACTACTAAGTTTATATGTATCTGTTCGTTTTGTACTATGTTAAATGCTATTATTACACAGATTGGCCCTTTGCAGGGGGAAACGTTCACTTAAGACTTGGGGGGTGGGTTTCCGGAAAAGGCTGTGCTGTGCATGTGCATGTGCTGTGCCCCTCTTCAGGGCCCCAAGCCATCACATGTTAAAGCTGCATTATGAACCTTTTTACGCAAAATTTTTAAAATATTCTAATTATGATAAATTTCGGTGTTATCAACAGTTACTATCACTTTTTAACACATTTGTGTCATTATTTCACATTTCTGACGTATATTTTGTGCGTTCAAACAGTTCTTGTTCAGTTCCCGGTGCCCGGTGCCACCGGTTTGCTCAGGACAACAACAACAACAACAGGCAGTGGTTGGCCCCCCTAGTGTGGCTAATTGGTCGGGCATGACAGGATAGATAGACAGGAGCACATGTCACAAGATTGACTTCTTAATTGGAAACACTCATATCTTTGACATGAAGCGGAATATGATTATCTTAGTGTATCTTATTGGGTATCAATAAACTGTGCCATTATCCCTTCAAAAGAGATAAAAAATCTGGTAAATGATGAGGTCTTTCAGAAATCTGTACAAAGCTGTCAACTGACGCCCCACTGGGAGGTACATGTACCATATGTGGACAATACCATATGTTAGTCTCCACCAGACTCCTTTGCAGGCTGAATAAATAGTAGAAATTGGCTAAGGGGAACATCATTGGCCAGAGGAGTTGGCCGGCCATAGAGGGTCCAGCTTACCTGCAGGAGACTAACCATACATGTATGTGCTGTGTGGCCAGAGGTTTGAATAGAAGATCATTCACAGTTTTGTAAGCTCATAAGGAGCAAGGATGTTGTATTTTTGTTGCTGCGTTATTATTCTGGAACACTAAAGGGTTAAGTCAATGTACTATGTAAAGAAAAGAATGGAAAATATACTTTTTGTATTGTCAAAAAGTCACATAATGCCCCTTTAACATATGATGGCTTGGGGCCCTGAAGAGGGGCACAGCACATGCACATGCACAGCACAGCCTTTTCCGGAAACCCCTTGGGGGGTTTGTATTGTCGCAGGAAACAGTTGGACTGTTCTGGGCCGGAAGGCCACAAGTAGTGTGATACAATAGATAAGGGTCTCTGGGTTATCCAAGCAGATGCAAGGAGCCGGTTACTGTAAGTATCGGTGTAAATTACGCTGTTTTTTCGTCGTCAGTATCTGTAATCTCCAAGCAGATAATTTGCTGGCAAGGCAGTATCCATTGGTCATAGGAGTGTCCATTAATTAGCCACAGTGTAACAGGCCTGTTTCTTACAACAGAAGGATCCAGTGGATACTGCCTTGCCACCGTAGGATCTGCTTGGAGATTTCAACACTTAATTTAAAAGTATCTGGGCCAGCTGGATTGTGTATACAGTATTGTCCCGTGTCTGGCCCATGTTAGTCTAGTCTCTCTGGTTTAAATATACACAGTCTCTGCCAGCCAAACTAAGTAAGCAACACCTTAGCACACAAATCTTAGCACCTTAGCGCACAAATCGCTGCTACTATACTACTAAACAACGTGACGTGAGACGTATAAGTGAACTTGGCAATCATTGTTGCCATCTAGAGATCTTTATTCTTATGTAGCTACTGCTTGCATGTAACGCTACATATACTAGTATCTACGACACCGCTATCATGTACGTACGTGTGTCGACATGATGTTGTTAATCAATTCCTTTACTATTCTTGCGTGACCTAGCGTGACCTCTGGGGCTAGTGAAAGGGTTTCCCGGGCGCCTGGTGAAGCAAAAGACGTCAACAATTTCACCAAACTTCTGCAAAATCGTACGGTTCCAAAACAATTTATTTCTCCAGCTTTTCTGATGATATTAACATCAATTCTACTATTACAAGGATATTCGCAGCTACTGTTTCAAATCACATCACACCGGTATCTCTTAGAACCCCAGCAGACCCTTGCACACCCACCACAACTTGCTCCAGTGACCTGGGGTCAACATTAGAAGCCTGATACCCCCCGGCCATGACACTGTCACTCCCGAGGCGGTGCGGTTAGACTGGTAAGGAACCTTAGCAGTTTCCCCGTAAATATCGTAAATAGCGAGCCTTATGAAGGAGAAACCGTATGGCAGTGTATTCTGGTAAGTTGTTGTCCTTGTTTAACGTCTAATATATCGCTAGACGTGGTCTCTGGGTGCTTGTTTACGCTTGTGTTTCAGTCACGTTCTAGTACATGCCTACCTAGCCGCGGCGACTGTTGCAGGGCTTCTCTTGCTTGCAGTCTTTTAGTTACATTAGCCCTAACAACAGGTACACGTTGTTAGTGCTAATGTAAAAGACTGCAAGCAAGAGAAGCCCTGCAACAGTCGCCGCGGCTAATGCCTACCTACCTAGTCCCATGACCGACACTGGTCGTCGGGAGGACAAGGCAGACTTTGCAGCAGAGGTGTACCTGCAAGGAGGTTTAAAATCAAATATTTAACCTTCTTGGGACATGTATTTAACACTTGTTATCCTGGTCGGTAAGTTAGTTTTGTGTCTGGCTCCAAATCTGAAGAGTTGAGCGTGATGTTGGCATGACAAATTTGTTGCAGTGGAGCAAGGAGTTTTAAAATCAAAGTCTTTTAATATTTAATCGGGTCACAGACCCTTGACTTTTTTTTGCCCTGCGGTGGCGTAGTTACTTCCGCATTTGTTTGTTGTATGGAATGCGTTTAGCACAAGAAACACCCCCAAACCGTACATATAAGTTGTATACAGTATGTGCACTTCTAGTATATAACAGTTACCTAGGAACCCCATAATAACAGTTGTGCAAGTCACAGTGCAACCCTTGCCCCGCATGACAAGGCGTATTTATGTTTACCGAAGGAAAACATATTGTTTTTGCTCCATTTCTTCTTCCTCTTCTGTTCCAAACACTAACCTCTGACCTGGCCAATGGCGTCTGTCGCCATAGTAACTAGTGTTGGGTTACATACAATGTTGCAATTTCATAGTAGGCATTTAGGCTCCTGTCACCATATACATGTACATGTATGTGAAATGTGTTTGAGTAAGAATTAACAGAGCAGACCATATCCGAAGGTAAACATGATGCATTTGCTTTGCAATTGTTACTTCTCTAGTTACTATCCATAGCCCCTTGTGAAGGCCTGTGGTACGAGGCTTACACTGTGCCTAATGGAAAGGACTTCAACCTTAACCAACAACGTTTCGGCCCGTCAAGTTACAATAGATGCTTTTCATTGGCGCGGTAATGTAATCATTGTTGGCATACCTGGTCACCCAGCGACCATGTTTGCGGTCAAGTGAATTACAGTAGCAGTATGTTTGCGTGCTTAAGCCAAGAGAAATGTTTGCGTGCTTAACAAACATATTACCCTTAATCCAATCCGGCACCCCAGACGTCAGTTGAAAAGCCTCTATGGGCACGACACAATGACTGAAGAATGCCGCACACCCATTAGAAAAACAGGGAGACGTTAGATTGAAGGCAGAGTGGATTGAATATTTGTTTATAAAGACACATTTTTTTTGTAGTTCTTGTTTTTCAGGTTGACGGTTATGTAAGATGGTCAAAAGCTTCTTTTCTATTTTATCATTTATGTTTCCTTGTTATTTTCTTAAAGCCGTAACCAAGGAGATGATGACACGGTGTAGCCGCAAGAGGTCGCTTCTGTCCATCGGCGGTCTGATCCTCTCAGTCGCACTGCTGGTGCTTTACTCATGGAGTGTTCCAAGGTCATTTGAAGGTCAAATCAAGAGCAAACTCCAAAGGTGAGATAGGTCATCTACTTTCTTGAGCCTGTGTGGGCACTGAACTCAGACCGTATTGCTGATATATAGCCTGGTTACCAGACTCATTTCAGCTCCCCAATCTTTATCCATCTCACAAGATTCTTGAGCTGGAATAGGTCTGGTAACCAGGCTATGAAGTATATAATATGCTGTGTGACGATGCCTAGAGTTGCATCCTGCTTTCTTATGCTATATTTTCCTAATTTCGCCGTAGCTATAGATTTAATCGGTCACACCCAATAATCACAACACCAACTTTTTCCACTATTTTCAGACGCTTCCATGCAGGTGTGAGAGGAAAGAACGCCACCTTGTGGCGGCAGGTGGAACTGCATGGAGAGACCCACGCCTTTAAGTCCAACGACAATGATGCTGTTGGTACAGGAAGTCATCGTGGCAGCTGTAGGCAAAAATCTGACATAGTTTTCCTAAAGAGCCACAAAACGGCGAGTTCCACTGTACAAAACATACTGATGAGGTACGGCCTGGCAAATAACCTCACCTTCGCTCTCCCGAAAAGGGAGAACTTCCTCAACTGGCCAAAGTTCTTCCACAAGTCGTCTGTTCTGCAGGAACATCTCCATGGCAACGAGGGGCGTAACCATGGCAACCGCACAGCCTACAACATCCTCTGCCACCACACGAGGTTTCACTATGAGAACATCCGGGCGCTCATGCCGAACGACTCTGTGTACGTCACCATTGTCAGGAACCCGGTAGACATGTTTGAGTCCATCTTCACCTACAGAAGACTCGACAAGAAGTACCAGATTTCCCAGCCGAACTCCCTAAAGGTGTTCCTGGACAGCCCCTCGGACTTCGTGAAGAAATACGGCCGGACGGAGCATTCCCAGAATCCTCTGTTCTACGATCTGGGTTACGACAGCGAGCAGCTGACGTCATCGCAGACGATACGGTCGGCTATTGATCGAATCGATCAGATATTTCCCGTTGTCATGGTAGCAGACTATTTCGAAGAGTCTTTGATACTGATGAAGCACGTTTTGTGCTGGTCTCTAGATGACGTCACGTTCTTCAAGGTCAACGCCAGAAGCGAGGCGTCTGTGCGTCACGTGACCGAGGACATGGCGGGAAAAATCCGCCAGTGGAACAAGGCGGACGCCATGTTGTTCGAACACTTCAACAGAACTTTGTGGTCCAAACTCTCCAAACTCCCCTTCAACTGGAGACAGGAGGTCCAGCTCCTCAAGGAGAGGAACCAGCGACTTAAGGACGAGTGTCTGAAATCTGACGACGCCTCCAACACGGAAATAAAAGACGAGAAGTTCCGAGTCTGGGAGCCGGAGGGAGTTTCTGTTCGCGGGTTCCTCCTGAGAGACTCTGCCCGAGAGAACAGAACTTGTGCAAACATGGCGAAACCGCCCAAACCGTTTACTTACGAGCTACAGGACAGGGAAAGGGCGAGGTTTACACTCGGGGCGGTTTGAACTGACATATATGTTCATTTATACAATAAACAATATGATGCAATAAATCTAATGGTGAAGATTTAAAGAAATTACAGGTTCTATTGTTTTGGCTTGCCTGCCTCTGACGTGTGTTTCCGCACTGGATTGTCTTGTTCTTTTTGTTACCATCTTACAAACACACACTCAAACCTCCAAAACCGTTTACTTACGAGCTACAGGACAGGGAAAGGGCGAGGTTTAGACTCGGGGCGGTTTGAACTGACTTATGTGCAACTTGTTGCTTCATTTTTACAATAAACAATATCTAATAAATCTCATGCTGAAGATTTAGATAAATTACAGGTCACAAGGAACTTCTATTCACTTCAAAGAAGCCACGTGACAAGCTTCACTGGGTCAGTCTACTGAGGAAGACCAGAGTGACTGGTCGAAAGCTCTAGGTGAGAGAATTTTTTTGTGTTGGACCAAAAGTTTTAACTTTAAACAGGAACTTCTATCGTTCTGTTGGCTTGTCTGTCTCTTACGTGTGTTTCCGATCTGGATTGCCTTGTTTCATTTGTAATAATCCATGTGTTTCTGTGATGAGGATTATATAACGTTATATAAATAGTGACAAATAAATAATGTTGATTTCGCACAAATAGTCCCAAAGAAATCCCACTGTAGTCTATCAATGAAATAATACACGCAAATGTAGTTACAAAAATAAACACTTCCTTTTTATTTCTGTACAAAATACACACAATGTAATTAAGAAAATATATACATTTCAAATTAATACATCTTTAACTGCAATGTAGTTATGTACAGTTTATATACAACACATATGATATATATTTACAGTCTTTCAAGGAATGTAGCTAGCTTTAACAGATTCACAATTTAAAGCAGCTTTGCCATAATTACGACTAACGTTTTGTTGTACATCAACTTTACATCCATACTTTGCATGAAACTATTACTTGACTAAATGTAGTTATGTACAGTTATATAACATAAGTGTTTAACCATATATATTTACAGTCTCTTAAGGAAATGTAGGTAGCTTTGACAGATTTACAATTTAAAGCAGCTTTGCCACAATCACGAATAACGCCATGTTTTACAATAACATCACGTCCATTGCATGAAATTATTACTTGATAACCCGGATGGGAAAAGGGGAAATATGTACAACTTGATAACCACAGACGGAAATGTCGGAAAACAAGATCAACTAACTTTACTTTTTATGGTGATGATCATCATCTTAAACTTTTATACAGTTCATAGTTATACAGCAAAAGACACAAAGGTACATACTGTTACGTATACAATAACTGAGTACGTTCTAAACTAATTGGAGTCCTCTTAACTTATTGGACCTTAAGTACAAAATTGAAATATCTACTGTGTCAAAAAGCTTTTAATGGGAGTCTTGTTGCCTCAAATGTGCGTTTTTCTTCTTACGTAGACAGCCATGGCAGGAGGATGAAATCTACAACTCAAAGACATTTTAACAAACATTGTTCAACAAGATGGAGAAAACACAGATGGGTAATTTCATCATGGGGGGGGGGGGCGAGGTCCTAGTCTATCAAAATAAATCATGAACAATGAGGGGAAAAGACAGCTCAGGGTGATACTAGCTGTGTATTATTTGATCTGGGGCCTTCATGACTAATCCCAACAGTCAGTTGTCCGACCTTTATATGTATCCAACCTGTCTCCCTCCTCAACCTCGCCCACTGCTGTTCCTCCCTCCGTGCACCCTCCCCACCTGCCTCCACGGCCTCGCCCACATCAGCCAGGTTGCCGTCATACAGGTCATCCCACCCGTACCCGTAAGACTTGCCCTTCATGGTTCTTACAAAATCACGGACTTCTTCAGCACTGAACCTGTTATCATACAGCCAGACATTCTGCACAGCTGTGCTAACCTTCAGCCATGCAGCTATGGCGGGGAGGGACTCGTCACGGATGGAATTGTCCTCAATATGTACAAGCGTCAGAATGGGAAGGTTGGTAAAACATTCAGTCAGTTTCCTAACATCGGACAACTTGTTATGACTAAGATTCACCTTCTTCAGACAAGGGCAAGAGACAAGACCTTCAGCAAGACCAGACACTGCTTCATCACTAATGTCATTGTCACTGAGATTTATCTCCTCCAAGTTGGGGAGGGGAGGTAAGAAGTCTCCTATGTCAGATAACTTATTACGACTAAGGTCCACCTTCTTCAGGTTCTGGCATGATCCAAGACCTTTACCAAGACCAGGCACTGCCTCATCACTAATGTTATTGTGACTGAGATCTATCTCCTCCAAGTTAGTGAGGGAAGGTAAGAAGTCTCCCCTGTCAGACAACTTGTTATACTTAAGGATCACCTTCTTTAGGTTCTGACATGAACGAAGGGCTTCAGCAAGACCAGGCACTGTCTCATCACTAATGTTATTGTGACTGAGATCTATCTCCTCCAAGTTGGGGAGGGGAGGTAAGAGGTCTCCCATGCCAGACAACTCGTTATCGCTAAGGTTCACCTTCTTTAGGTTCTGACATGAACCAAGACTTTCAGCTAGACCAGGCACTGCTTCATCACTAATGTCATTGTGACTGAGATCTATCTCCTCCAAGTTGGGGAGGGGAGGTAAGAAATCTCCCCTACCAGACAACTTGTTATAGCTAAGATTCACCTTCTTCAGGTTCTGACATGGACCAAGACCTTCAGCAAGACCAGGCACTGTCTCATCACTAATGGCATTGTTACTGAGATCTATCTTCTCCAAGTTGGGGAGGGGAGGTAAGAAATCTCCCCTACCAGACAACTTGTTATAGCTAAGATTCACCTTCTTCAGGTTCTGACATGAACCAAGACCTTTAGCAAGACCCGTCACTGCCTCATCACTAATGGTATTGTCACTAAGATCTATCTCCTCCAAGTTGGGGAGGGGAGGTAAGAAGTCTCCCCTGTTAGACAACTTGTTATGACTAAGGTTCACCTTCTTCAGGTTCTGACATGAACCAAGACCTTCAGCAAGCCCAGGCACTGCCTCGTAACTAATGTTATTTTGACTGAGATCTATCTCCTCCAAGTTGGGGAGCTGAGGGAGGAACTGTAGTAGAAGACTAATTTTAGTGAGCGGTATTGACGAATTATTACGCCAATAATGTGAGGTCAGATCTAGTTTTCTTACGTGTATAGCACCCATTCTGCTTGAGAGTAGAGACACAAGCTCGTCACTGATGTTGTTTCTAGCAGTCTTCACCTGCATACCTTTGCATAGATCTTGTAGCAGCAACAGCAGTGCTCCCTTATTGGAGATCTTGTTATCAGTGAGATGGACATGCTTCAGGTTCTGACAGGAACCAAGACCTTTAGCAAGACCAGGCACCGCCTCATCACTAATGACATTGTGACTCAGATCTATCTCCTCCAAGTTGGGGAGGGGAGGTAAGAAATCTCCTCTGTCAGACAACTTGTTCTGACTAAGGTTCACCTTCTTCAGATTTTGACATGGACCAAGACCTTCAGAAAGACCAGGCACTGCCTCATCGCCAATGTTATTGTGACTTAGATCTATTTCTCTCAGGTTTTGGAAAGTCTGCACGTTCCCGACAAGAGTGTTGATATCCTGACTTGTCAACTTACAGTTGGTGCAACTCAATAGCTCAAGCGGAGGAAACTTTCCAGCCTCTGTACTCTCAGGGGGTAGCGATGCTAGGCCTTGGAATATTAATGACCAAGTAGAGGTGTCGGCATGCACATAATCAAATCTCAATTCCACCAGGGATTTTATTCTTTGGAAATAGGGTACAAGGCTTTCAGCACTATTTGAATATATTCGTGTGGCTCTTGATGTTTTGGTATGCCTTCCTTGAAGAGTCAACCGTTGGATATCGAACGGTCGGAAAGATAGAACTCCGGGCCAGACCTCACTACGAGTTTTGCAATGCAGAGTGAATGTTGCAAACGTAGCTGTTAATGAACAGTCTTTTACAGAACAGTACTCTGTGAATTCCACATTTTCCAGTTTGTGAAGGCAACTCAAAACATTCATGACCTTTGCAAGATCCTCACTCCTTGCGTTTCTCACTGCCAAGGCCACGGTGGTGACATTAGGAGTGAATAATAGTGATTTTGCCAGGTTGCTCAGTGTAGGACCGAAGAATGCTCCTGGCTTAACAGTAATATTTTGTAAGGATTGCGAAAACTGCAAATATCGGTTAATGGTATTCACATCGATAGTTTTGTCAGTTTTGGCAAACCTGTATTTTGTGGCCAAACTGAATATGTTTCTAGTACTTGGCATACACTCAAAAAGGGGCAGGTAACTGAGATATTTGACTTGATTGGCATGATCAACGTTAGATACGGGTTTTTGTTGAAAGGGATATTGTTTCAGTACACTTTTGATACTCCTATTTTCTGGAAGCGTTATTGTTTGAATTAAAGTTGTACTTCTGATGAGTTGTGTCAAGCAGTGGAGGCCATGAAGGGTGATTTCAGGAAGAGCAGACAAGTCCAAAGTTTTGTCAGGAAATAAATTCTCAATGAAGGGTGACAAAGCATCTAGTTGGTTTGTTTCTGCTGACGTTGTCACGACTGAGAGTAGACGGTTAAAATTGTCAGACCCTCCCTGCTTTTGCATGAGCAATGTTACAAACTGTTGCAGGTGTGTTGGAGAATCTGTCATGCTCAGGAGGTGAGCAAGACTGCAACAGGTGATGGGCAGGTGGTCTGACTTCTCAGCACAAACTCTCAGGAGATCTGTACAGTCAGTCCGGGTTCTGACTGTGTGTGCTACCCACACTGCCATGAGAAACTGCCGTATGCTGTCATGTACAAACTGGAAGACATCTTTTGCGTCATTAGACTCAACCTCCTTTAACCAACCAATGCTTGTCTCTAGAATGTCAGAGTCCAACTGGTCTTTGGAAATATACACCGAATTGCTGTTTGTGTGACTTTCAAACGCAGCTTTACCCACCATTAGACAGATGTTTTCATACACGGACTTCCAATGTTCATCGCTGATGTCATTCTCAAAACAGAACTGCTTTAAAGACACCTTCGTAACAAACTTGACAAAAGTTGCTAATGAAATAGGAAAGGTTTGGTACTGTTTCCAGTATTGACACAAGTAAGAGTGGAAAAACCTGTCCCTGATGAGGTGCTTAACCAGTAAGTTACTTGGCCAGCTCTTCTGGATAGACCTTGCCGTGTCTTCATCAGTCTTGAAGAAGTCTTGGATGTAGTCATTCCAGGCCAAGGCGTCTTCTCCTGTTGGATATATGGGAGGGCTGACTGTACTGTTCTGGGATTCTGAAGAAGAAAGAGGTGTCAATCTTACGGCACAATCTTTAAAGTGTCAAATATAAGGAATTATAGACCTTTCACCACAGCCATGGCATATACAACTAGAGTTCCACGATCTCATACCTTCGCCAAATGATGTTAGCCTTTATGACTAAGAAATTATGGATTAATCCCCCTGATTGTGCAAATAGGATCCTATATTGCATCAATTATATCTGTTGATCATATTCTACACCAGAAGACAGTCTTATCTTATCAAAGAATGCCATTATAGCGTTTCCTCATAAATTATGCAAATGAGGTCCTCATTTGAATAAGTGATGTTTAATTATGTTCACCTTCACATAACTTTCAGATATCCCAAGTATGAAATTCCAGGCAGTTACCACTATGTAATTATAATATTTTCTAATTAATTATGCAAATTATGTCTTCATTTGCATAATCGATATCTGCCTGTATTTCTGCCGTTCTTAATTACATATATCACAAGCTTGAATAGTCCTATCATGGAATGCAGCTGATTTATAGAATTTCCTCATTAATTATGCAAATTACATTAATATTTGCATAATTGTAATATTACTATCAAGCATCACTTCAGCTACCTACATGCCAAAAATCACGACGATCCATCAATCGGTTCTTGAATTATCCGCCTTTAAACATTTTCAACTAATCCGAACTGCAGTTCTAGAGCAAGCCGCTAGGGAGTTCAAACTCACATTACTTCTTCCCCAGCACAAGAGCTATCTACCATCTAAATTTCATCACCCTAGCATGTCCAGATCACGAGATATCAAAACCGGAAGTTCAGCTGCAGTACCATAACAAGCCGCTAGGGGGCCCAAAATCTAATCAGTTTCACGTCTCATGAAGACCTACCCACTTACCAAATATCAAGACAATCCATCATAGCCTTCTTGAGTTATCGTGCTGACACACACACACACACACACAGACACACGAACGCCAACGAAAACATAACCTTCTTGGCGAAGGTAATGATGAAAACTGGGTTAATGTTTGAATAGAAGTGTATGTATATAGGACAATAGAATTAGTAATATTTACCAGAATCTAGAGATGTGCTTCGATCTTCCTCAGATACGCTACTTGCCTCCATGTTGCTACCACCTGTTTCTGATTCACTATCTGGTATCCTTTCCCCACCTACAATGTAGGGTCAAGAATGAAATATGCAGTTGCTGTGGTTGCAAATAGAATGCTAAGTAACATTTGCCAGCACTCAACATTCAAAAAATATTTTTTTTATCAAACTCCCAGCCTTGCGAGGTAGAACTGGGACTGCTAACCACTGCACCTCCACACTTACCCTCAGGCCCGGCGGTATCCATGTCTCCATCTGGCTTCCCTTTTGTAGCCTCAGATTCCACTTCTGTCAGGAAAATTTGACCAGAAGCTGCTGCATCTACATAAAAAGCAAGAGTAGGATTGAGTCAGAACATGATGCGACTTCAATGTAAGAAAACAAGTGCTGATATTACGAAGCGGGCAGCACTTGTTTTACAGATTTACAGATTTATCATGATTTATCTTGATGTTATCCATGTATGCAAATGAACTTGCTCTCTCGATAAAAATATCAAGTTACATGCTGTAATAATATGGACAAGAAGAAGCTGTGACTACCTGCAACCTCATGTATCCCAGCATCCCTCAGGGCCTGCACCAACTGTTCCAGAGTGACGTCACCTAAGTTCCTCTCCATCCAATCACAGATGAGCTGGCGAGGACGGAGGGAGGGGGGCTGTGTGGCTGTCAGGTCCCGGATGTAGTTAGAGTTGAAGCCGAGAGACAAAGCCAGCCGCTCCCACATGGAACCCAGATGGTCAGCAACGGTGGATAGCTGATCGTCTAGTTCTGTGGATTGTGTATAACGAGTATGTGGGATCATTTCACAGGATCTGGAACATTTAGATATCTGATATCAGCGCTAATCACGCCTATATCAGAATTTTTTACATTCACTGCAACTTAGATGGTATTTTCTCATCTTTCATTGGAATGCCCATACTGGTGGAAATACCACTACATTACATCTTGTTACGGAATCAAATAAGCACAAACCAAGGACGCGTAAGAAAACCCCTTGCCTAAACTCCTACCTGATTCATGCTTTACTTCCAATAATGATCAATAAAACAAAAAGTTGACGTGTATGCTTACCTGATTTCACATTTCCCATCATGCAACAGGGCGGCACCTGTTCAGCTGGCTCCTGCTTCACCTGGATGACGTCACCACCACCTGGCACCTGTAGCCCACCTGGTCCATCACCATGGTAACCAGGTGGCGTGTCATCACCATGGTTACTGCTGCCTGGTGCAGGAGGACCCTGTCCTGTATGTTCCCCAGATCGACCAGGATGTGGGGGGCCTCGGTCTGCTGTGCCACTTGGGTCTGGGGAGGAAGACAATTACAAAACGTGTCTGGCCGTTTTACGTACATGTAAAGCAAACATATAAAACATTAAATTTGTAGGATTAACCTCAATAGTTGTCCAAAAGACTTTAAGAAAGATTGCACTATGTGAAAACGTATTTCCTTTCAGATTGGACATCAACTGCCGTATCAAAAGGACAGTCAAGAAAGTTGATGACTCACCCTGGTCTGAGAAGTCTCCCTCCTCTGTAGCAGAGTGCAGGACTCGGACATGTATGTACAAGTCTGCTCCTCCCTCTGCTGCCCTCATGTCGTCTGTGATCAGTTCTCGGGTCAGGGTGTCGGACAGGCTCCCGTCACTGTAGCCGCGCCAAAACGTGTCGTAACAGCCGACATCAGCGAAGTCAAGATAGCAAAGTACACATCCACGTTTGGCCTTTTTGAGGAAAGCTGCAAATCTTTCGAAACATTTGGCCATTTTGTGATATTGTTCTCTGTTTTCTGCATCAAGTATTTTGCCTCTGAAAATTACCTGTGCCACTTCTGCAATCTTATCATTAACTTTTTTCTTTATTTTTAATTTTGCCTGCGATGTAAGCTTTGATTTGTTGCCATCATCATCATCATCATCATCAGGCACAGCTGATGCAATTCGTCGGAGGGATTTTACACATTTTTTAAACTTATGATAATCATGAACAGTTTCGTTGTCAAAAACTCTTTCACCATTTTCCACAATTGTGTGATAAATGGTGCTTTTATCATCAGCTGAACCAGTCCTGTCAGCTTCACCTGCATGTAAAACAAACAAGACAGTTTGTGTTATAAGAAGAACAATATAACCGACATCGCTCTACCTTTAGCTTTGTTTTTCTTAGATGCCAATTTTGCAAGTACAATTTTTGGGACATGTGCATTTTCAAATTTAATTACACACAGTGAATAAAAGACATTGGGTATGGTTTGAATGCTGCAACTGTAATTCGTTTAGTACGTCAGATTGCAACCTTTATGTACAATTCTAACAAATAGCCAATGTTTAGGAAAAGTGTGACTAACTACTTTTACATCCTAATGAGTGAGGTACCTTTAATAGACTCAGGCATCTCCCCTGCCTCAGGGTCAACCTTTGTCCTTTTTTTCTGTCTTGCGGCTCTACTCTGAAGTTTTCTCCTTTTCCTGCTGCTCTTCCCATTCTGCTGTTTTCCTTCCAGTTTGACAATTAATGGTTGCATGAGGGGACGACCTGCATAACATAACATTGGATACATATCGTCATGGTTACTTAGCATAGAGACACATGCAATTATGTACAGATCCAACGAGAATCATCATAGCAACTGCCACATCAGTTCTTGTCTAGCCAACTAGGGATTAATATCATGATATTTCATATAGTATAAAAATATTAGTCACCTAAATCTTCATGTCAGCAGATGAAGAATGAAATAATAAATAGCTACATATCGTTTTGTAATAATTGGTAACAAACCTTCATCAGACTCTGATTCCCCTCCACTAGTTGAACTTGAACTAGTTGAACTTGAACTAGTTGAACTTGAACTAGTGGAACTTGACGATTCATGTTGTTGACTTGACCGTGAGCTTGTGGAGTTTGTCTCATGACCATGTTCTGTCCCATTGAGATGTTGTGTTCCGTTACTGCTTGTCCCCGCTCTCTGTTCCACTCTGTCCCGTCCGTTGGTACCATTTGATTCTGTGGGTATAAATTTAGACAATCTTTAGGGTAAATCTTTTTGTCCATCCTTGTTGTTACCTCTTGAAAGAAACACAGCGTCACAGTCAAGGCTAATGCATTATCTTACCAATGCCCAGCACCTTAAATGTGTATCAAAAGTGTGTTAGTTAGCAGATGTACTTACCAGCACATGCACCATGGTAAGAATGTTTTGATTCCTGTTTTATCTGAAATGAACAGCCACAGGAATCCTGGGTCGTCTTCCTCTTTTTATGTGTGGGCCCTGAAAAAACAGGGGGGAGGGGGCATTGTCAAGGGCAAATTTATTAAGTACACTTGCACTGTTAAATGATATTCATAAATATACAAGAAGTATGCTGGTTACATGTTTGTTCTTTTGAAGCAGACACAATATACAAAATGATTCACAAATGTCAGATTTATCAATGATTAAAGATTTTAATTACTGTTACATGTTAAGAATCCCGTAAAGGGAAATTGTGCAGAAGCCAATACGATAGATGTCTCTTACCTGTCCACTGTAGAATGTGGTTAGGAATGTGTGCAGCCTGCTCTGTGATGAGTCCATTTACTTTGACTTCATGACCATTGTGTCTGTCAAGTTCATCTATTTGTAAAAAATAATAAGATGGGTTTTACTCCCTAATTCTTTTCTTTTTTTGATTGAAGAACAATTGAAATCAAAATAATCCTGGGCTTTTCAAAGCTACATGGAACAGAGGTACGAGCCCACCTGCAGTCTGTATGAACCCTCCCCTCCTGAGAGCTCCTGCCAGCTTCTCCCTACAGGCCTTCCTGCCACGCCTGTCCCTCCACAGCTCCAGGGCCTGTAACGCCTGACGCTCGGTGCTGCTGGGATGTTGTACCTGGATGTTCACCACGTCTTCTGCCGTCAGACCCAGCTGTTCTACTGCGAACTTTCCCCAGTAGGACCCAACAGCTTTGGCTACAGGTATGAAATAGTTGTGGCTGGGGGAAGGTCCTGGAAAAGCGGGTATTTGTAACAATCATGTTAAACACGATGCATTTCAAGAGTTATAATTAACGATCAATACCTTCATTGGAAAGAAACAGACAAAATTTTAGAATGCCAAACTTACCATTATGCGGATCATTCCCCATCAAAGATGACTCTTCTGATGAATTGTCTTCTTTGGACTGTTTTGGTTTTCTTTTTCTCTTCCTTTTCCGTCTTGTTTTCTTGCCTAAGATGGGACAAAACCAATTTATTTAATACCAGGAAGTATAAGTATTGTCTGTTTGAACTGTTACAGTTTCTGACAATAACTTTAAGATAATGACTTACATTGCTGTGTTTGCTTTCTTTGTTACTAGCTGAAGGTGTGGGTGTAAGAGCTGCATATATAAATATATATTAATTTGTTTTTGACCATATAACTTTTTTTTATAATCAGAAACAGGAAACCCACCATCTAAACTCTCTGCTGTCAGCCTTTCATCAATGTTGATGAGTGCCTGGTTCAGAACCTGTAGAGTAGCCTTCCTTCCCTCCCTGTTTCTCCATCTGTTCAGCATTTCTCTGCACCTGTGGTCAGGACTGGATTCTGTTGTTCCGATGCCTTTGATCTCATTCCGGTCAAATCCTAGCTTCCGGGCCAGGTCGTCCCATTTGTGGCTGACGCCTTTGACAACTTTGTCAAAATATTCCTCCTCATCAACTGGCCATGGAGCACGGATAGAAAAAAATGTAATCACAAAATAGACAAGGTTGTTCATAAATACAAATATTATTTTTATTCATGGTCATCAAAAGTAGCATGAATAAAAATAATTAGACTAACCAAGTAATATCCCTGATCAGTCAGAATCTTACGTGCCTTACCAGTCTGGTTCCCAAGCTAGAGCCTTACCAGTTTGGTTCCCAAGCTAGAGCCTTAGCAGTCTGGTTCCCAGGCTAGAGCCTTACCTGTCTGGTTCCCAGGCTAGAGCCTTACCAGTCTGGTTCCCAGGCTAGAGCCTTACCTGTCTGGTTCCCAGGCTGGAGCCCTTCCAGTCTGGTTCCTAGGCTAGAGCCTTACCAGTCTGGTTCCCAGGCTAGAGCCTTACCAGTATAGAACCTTACCACTAGGCTAGAGCCTTAGTAGTCTGGCTCCCAGGCTAGAGCCTTACCAGTCTGGTTCCCAGGCTAGAACCTTACCAGTCTGGTTCTCAGACTAGAGCCTTACCAGTCTGGTTCCTAGGCTAGAGCCTTACCTGTCTGGTTCCCAGGCTGGAGCCCTTCCAGTCTGGTTCCTAGGCTAGAGCCTTACCAGTCTGGTTCCCAGGCTAAAGCCTTACCAGTATAGAACCTTACCACTAGGCTAAAGCCTTAGTAGTCTGGCTCCCAGGCTAGAGCCTTACCAGTCCGGTTCCCAGACTAGAGCCTTACAAGTCCGGTTCCCAGGCTAGAGCCTTACCAGTCTGGTTCCTAGGCTAGAGCCTTACCTGTCTGGTTCCCAGGCTAGAGCCTTACCAGTCTGGTTCCCAGGCTAGAGCCTTACCTGTCTGGTTCCCAGGCTAGAGCCTTACCAGTCTGGTTCCCAGGCTAGAGCCTTACCTGTCTGGTTCCCAGGCTAGAGCCTTACCTGTCTGGTTCCCAGGCTAGACCCTTACCAGTCTGGTTCCCAGGCTAGACCTTTAATACCAGTCTGGTTCCCAGTACAGAGCCTTACCTGTTTGCCTGCCCTGTTGTCTCCCAGCCATGATGACTTACTGCTCACACCGGGTCAGGTGGGAACTCTGGCCATGGCAACCTGGAACAGCAGAATGGATTTAGAACTTTTATTACAATGATTTCAACATAATAATAACATTTCAGTATCTCTATATTTACGAACCACACACACACACACACACACACACACACACACACACACACATATATATATATATATATATACAAACACAAACACACACACACACACACAACAAGCACAAGTTAAGATAAGTTACACATGAACAGTCGCACACTAGCTCCCACAGTTGCCCCCCTCCCCCAACTAATTTTAAATTTAGAACTTGTACCGACAGTTTCACTTGACTAAATAAGACTTCAGTACAATTATTAAATAGCAACATTATGTCAGAAATCCTAGATACGTCTACAATACTTAAACGATACTTGGTAATATCAAACTTACAGAAGGGACCATGTGGTAAGTACTTTTTAAGCACCGCCATACTTTACCGAGATGACATCACCGGAAAGTACCTGCAAAGGGGGAATCCCCTTTCTGAGTGAGCTGGGCGTCCGCCATTTTGGGACAGGTGACGACAACAACCACAAAGTTTCTGAACGTAACTGCATATTTGAAGCCGAATGACAACCGAACGAATCGTCAAAAACACACAGATAATCTACAGAGTCAGTCTATAGGTTTGAAGAACTTAATAAACATCTTAAACTTACGCTACTTACACAAGTTACCAACAAAGTTATAGAAGGCCTTAACATCAAACAGCACCGCTACATATTTAACTGTTGTTCGACTCGCTTCTCACCAGCGTTAAGTTGGCACTCTCGCCCTTATGTGAGGTGGAAAGTTATTCACTAAAGTTTCGTTCTATAAACCATCAGAATCCCGGAGAAGTGACCAGCACACCTGGCCATGATACATGCACACCTGAAGTTACCTGTGTAACACACCTGGTTCTTATTACGTACAACAACAATCGACATGGACTATCCAAATGTACTTAATTAGTGAAAAAAGCTGTAAAATAGACCTATTGGCTGTATCAAGGAACATTTAGAGTTACCATTTTCAGATATAGATGAGTTGGAACCATAAATAAAGGCGTTACCTGGATCAGTTTTCAGGTAGCAACTTTCAGCGTCGAACTTTCACTTTCAGCATGGAACTTCCTGGTCGCACCGTAGGGAGGTTAGAGGTCATCATTCGTGCTGTGATCTCGTACCCAGGATATGGTCCGCATCATCCCGGGAACGAGAGTAAAGCTCTGCCTACCACCTACCACCACTGTAATACTTGCAAAGTAATGCTTATTGAAAATATCCACCAAAAAGCTGAACTTATGATCTTGACAATTTGTCTGAAATCTGACGACGCCTCCAACATGGAAATAAAAGACGAGAAGTTCCGAGTCTGGGAGCCGGAGGGAGTTTCTGTTCGCGGGTTCCTCCTGAGAGACTCTGCCCGAGAGAGAACTTGTGTAAACATGGCGAAACCGCCCTAACCGTTTACTTACGAGCTACAGGACAGGGAAAGGGCGAGGTTTAGACTCGGAGCGGTTTGAACTGACTTATGTTCATTTATACAATAAACAATATGATGTAATAAATCTAATGATGAAGATTTAAAGAAATTATAGGCTCTATTGTTTTGGCTTGCCTGCCTCTGACATGTGTGTTTCCGCACTGGATTGTCTTGTTCCTTTTGTTACCATCTTACAAACACACACTCAAGCCTCCAAAACCGTTTACTTACGAGCTACAGGACAGGGAAAGGGCGAGTCGTTTAGACTCGGGGCTGACTTTTGGGCGGCTGTGTTACGATGGGGGAGATTGACTCATTTCATTTGTTATAATCATGTGTTTCTGTGATGAGGATTATATAACGCTATATAAACAGTTGAAAATTAAATAATTTTGATTTCGCAAAATAGTCCCAAACAAATCCCACTGTAGTCTATCAATGAAATAAATACACGCACATGTAGTTACAAAAATAGACACTTCCTTTTTATTTCTGTACAAAATACACACAATGTAATTAAGAAAATATATACATTTCAAATTAATACATCTTTGACTAAAATATAGTTATGTACAGTCTATATATAACACAAGTAATAAATATTTACTATCTTTTAAGGCAGGTATTTAACTTCGACAGCCTCACAATCTAAAGTATCTTCTTTGCCATAATCAGGAATAACGCCATGTTTTACATCTAACATCAGATCCATTGGATGAAACTATCACTTGACTAAAATGTAGTTATGTACAGTTATACAACATAAGTGTTTAACAATATATATTTACATCCTCTTGAGGAAATGTAGTTAGCTTTGACAGATTAAGCAGATTTGCCATGATCACGAATAACGCCATGTTTTACATTAACATTACGTCCATTGCATGAAACTATTACTTGATAACCCGAATGGGAAAAGGGAAAATATGTACAACTTGATAACCACAGACGGTAATGACGGAAAACAACTCAACAAACTTTACATTTTATGGTGATGATCATCATCTTAAACTTTTATACAGTTCATAGTTATACAGCAAAAGACACAAAGGTACATACTGTTACGTATACAATAACTGAGTACGTTCTAAACTAATTGGAGTCCTCTTAACTTATTGGACCTCAAGTACAAAATTGAAGTATCTACTGTGTCAAAAAGCTTTTAATGGGAGTCTTGTTGCCTCAAAAGTTCGTTTTTCTTCTTAAAGTAGACAGCCATGGCAGGAGGATGAAATCTACAACTTAAAGACGTTTTTACAAACATTGTTCACCAAGATGGAGAAAAAACAGATGGGTTGTTTCATCAG